CTGTAAATCAGTACCTCGTCGTCTGAGCAGTTGTACTGCAGCTGATACATCTTCACTCTGGGAGCTGACTTGCTGACAGACCACTTGACCAGGGCAGATGTGGTGGTCACATCGGACACAAGAACAGCCCTCTCCGGGGCGCTTTTGGGAGGCTCCCCACCGCCGCTGCCTCCCCCACCCCGGCTGGTCTTGCTGGAACCTGTGATGTCCGAAAGGCGAGACTTGGGGGGTGCCATCCGGCTAGTGCTGTTGCTGAGGTGTGGGAGCTGGACAATGGAGACCTCCACTGTAGCTGTGGCCTCTCCTGCAGCGTTAGCTGCAATGCAGGTGAAGGCTCCGCTGTCCTGAGAGGTGGTGATGAGAATGTCCAGGGTGCCGTTGTCATATACAGCAGTCCTGGAGGAGTTTCCCACCAAGCGGTCATCAGGGGCGACCCAGTGGATCAAGGGGCTGGGGTCCCCAATGGCCTTGCACTTGAGAGTGGCTGCCTGGCCCTCCAGAACCAGCAGCTTGTGTGTGTGTTGTGTGATGAGAGGGGGCTCACACACAAACTCCTCCTCACGAATATGCCAAAAATAGCGCCCCTTGAGGCCTCCAGGGGATCCACAGGTCTCCAGGTCGTCATCCCTCTCCAGCCTCCGCAGCCAGAGAAGCTCACAATTGCAGTGCAGTGGGTTTCCCCCAAAACTAAAGGACAGGGGTGGGGCGAAGGGCGTGGCAGTCAACAGGGAGGCCTGGGAGCGGGCAAAGATGGGGTCTGGGGGCAGCTTCTGCAGCCGATTGGACGTGAGGTCCAGACGGGCCAGTTTCTGAAGATCTGTAAAGGTTCCCTCGGCAATGTGGTCCAGCAGGTTGTGGTCTAGACTCAGCTGATGCAGGTTGACCATGCGCCGTACCGAATCCCAGGGTAGACCGTGGAGGTTGTTGTAGGATAGGTCCAGATCTTCTAATGTCAGCAGGAAGTCCTCAAAGGCATCATCAGCGATGCCACCCAGCTGGTTATTGTTCACGATAAGATGCTGCAGGTTGACCAGGCCCCGGAGTGTGTCCTCCCCAAGGCTGGGCAGCCGGTTGCTGTCCAGGTGCAGGGATCGGAGACTCTCGAGGTCCAGGAAGGAGAAGGGCTGGATGTGGCTGATGGTGTTCCTAGACAAGGTCAGATCCACCAGTCCTGTCATGTTGGCAAAGTCCTGGCGGCCAATGTGGATGATGAAGTTGCCACCCAGGCGCAGCTCCACCGTCCTCCGGTCAATGTCAGGGGGCACAAAGAGGAGCCCCTTGGAGGGGCACAGGGTCCCCAGTGACTCAGACAGGTTCTGGCAGACGCAGTACTTGGGGCAGGCATCGACCACAGCAAACGCCATGCCAAAAGCCAGCAGCCCACCAAGCAGAGTCTCCATGATCTGGTCACTCAGCCTCGGCACCTGGAAGGAAGGACACAAGGTCAAGGCCCGCAGGTGATTTCCCTTACCAAGAACTCCCTCCCTCCAAGGAATGACACGCTGCCTCAGGGAACAAGAGACAGCCTGGGCGCAGGCAAGCACTCACATCTTTTCATTTAACTCTTCTAATGCATTTCTGCTTTATCTTTTTAGCCTTAGTTGTTACCATCTCCTAACAGTTTGATTCAGTCTGTGTGATTACAGATTGTTTCCTATATAACACATACCACATGAGTTCCACGATAGCAGACCTTTCATCTCTTTTATGAACTGCTGTGATCCAAATATCTCGCACAGTGCCCAGACACCTGGAACATCCTACTTCCTCGGTTGGAATTTGTTGGTTGGTGGGTGGACAGATGAGTAGGTAGTTAGATTTTTAGCGGATGGGTTAGCAAGTGGACAGATGGAGGGATGATGGATGGGAGGGTGGGTGGCTGAATGAATAGATTTGGTATTGGCATGTCTATAGATGAAAGTATGGGTGAGTGGATGGAGGGAAGTGTGGATGGGTAGGTGGACAGGAGGGTGGATGGATGATAGGTAGTTAGATGGGTGGGCATGTGGGTAGATAGGTGGATGGGTTAGTGGATTAGTGGGTGGAGAGATGGATGTAGATGGGAAGGCGGGACGTGTATGGTTTAGTGGTTAGGTAGATGAGAGGATTAAGGATGGGTGGGTAGATGGATGAATGGAATTAATGGGTGGATAGACAGATGAGGTCATGAAAGTATGGATGGAGAGGTGGAGGGAAGATAACATATCAGTGGTTCAACAAATAACCTTTGTGCCTGAAGTACATTCCGCAGTTGTCTTGTGAAGTAAAGTGTTTGTTAGTTTGGAGAAACATGAAATGAAAGTAGACTAGCATTCCTAAAGGGGAGGGATGTGGTCAGAAAGAAAGTTGACTCTAGAAAAACCAGGGTTGGTGGGGAATTCACTCTGGTGCTCTTCATCAAGAACAAGCCACTTGGATACCAGCTCTTGAGTTCAGGAAAGGGAAGAACTGGACTGGTGCTAGGTCCTCTCCCTGGACTCTGCCCATCCATGCTATTCCATGGGCGTCAGGGGACCCTGTTACAAGGGAAGGATGTCCTGTATATAAGGAGGGAACTCCCTCCCAGCCTACTAGAATCCCTGATCAAAAGTCATCTTCTCATTGAGGCCTCTCTGATACCCTAACCCACACATACAAACACACACACACACACACACACACACACACACACACACACACACACTCCCCTTCTGGGTGTGCTCTCTCACCTCAGGGTGCTCAGAGACTCACACACTGCCCAGCACTTAGTAGGTATTTTTCCTAAATAGACATGTAGGGTAGGAAAAAGATAGGAGTTTGCTGGGGATTTGCCCTTCCCAATTCTACAGTTTTCACCCTATTCCATGCAGTAGCAATTATGTATCTTTTTATGTGATGCTAAAAGCATGCCATTGGGTTGGATTTGGAGAAGATCCTGTGCCCTGGTTGCACAGCTTCCTAAAGACCAGAGTTTCTCAAATTGGCTTCTCCAAGTGCTAATTAGGTTCCACAAAAGCGGCTTCAGAGGCCAATAAGCTGGGATGCGCTGCCCACTTGCTTGCTCTGGTGGATGTTCTGTGCATGTTAACAAGTTCAGAAGAACTGAGATGCTCTGTGGGGGGAAGAGACTGGATTAAGGATTCATTTGGTGCTACGTTCGGTTTCTTGTTTTGTTGGCTCTGTGCATGTGTGTGCGCTCGTGTGTGTCCAGGCACCCCTGTATGTGTGTGGAGGCTAGAGGTGTGACAATGACTGTCCTCCTCATCTGCTCTCCACCTTATTTTTTAAAACAGTGTCTCTCACTGAACCTGAAGCTCATGATCGGACTATCCAGTGAGCTTCTTCCTCGCCTGTCTGCCTCCCCATAGCTCAGATTGTAAGTGCTTATTTGCCAGGATTTCACATGGATACTGGGGGTCTTAATGTAGTCATTCTTGCCTGCATAGCAAGCACTTTACCAGCTGAGCCATTACCCAAGCGCTCTTCTTGTTTTTGAGCAAGTTATTAATATTTAAAGGAAGTAGATTCCATAGGCCTCAATTTGAGCACCAAGGATGCAGAGAGAACACTCAGCAGGTGGTTTCCACATACACTACCTGATGGTTTGAATGAGATGTCCCCACACTCTCGGGCATTTGAACACTCAGTCCCCAACTGATGGTGTTGTTTGAGAGGCATAAGAGGTGTGGTCTTGTTGGAAGGATTATGTCACTGGAGGCAGGCTTTGAGTTTAAAGAGTGGCATCATTGGAGTGCACTGTTTGCTTTGTGTTGAAGGTTCAGGACGTGAGTCCTCAGCTTTCACCCTGCCACTCAGGATTCTTAACCCCCTGGAATGATAAATCCAAATAAACTCTTCCTTCTACGTGTTGCCTGGCTCATGGTGTTTTATCACAGCATCAGAGAAGTGACTAATGCCTACTATATACACATGCCACATATAAAAGCCTCTTCTAACCATATGTTTGGTTGTGCAGACTTCAGTCCTATTTGTGGTAAGGGCAAATCCTCCCTTGAGACCCTCCAAGGGCCAGCAGCCTTCCCCTCGTTTCACCTATAGAAGGTGCTGTGCTGAGAACAGCTCTGTCCAACAGAAACTCAGGATGAGCCAAATGTAATTTTAGACTTTTCGGTGATAATCTCCTTTTAATCATTGAGAAAGTTCATTTTGGTAGCATATTGCATTTCACCCACAATAGCATTTTAATGTCATCAGTGCCATTATCGATTGAGTTGTTGAGTATTATTTTATTTGTACAAAGACTGAAATCTGGTTTCACACTTGCTAGCACATCCCAAATGATCCTCCTCCATATTAGGGTCCCCTCAACGATCAAGCCTGGGAACTACTGCTGTCTGCTGTCTGTTGTGTAAATAAAACTTTACTAGCACACGGCCCACTCATTCCTTTGCATCTCGCTTGGGCCATCTTCCTTAACTGTGTGGCAGAGCAGAGTGTGGGAAGCAAAGAACGCAGGCCCAGGAAAAGCCAATGTCATTTGCTGTCTGGTTCTTCTGGAAGTTTTCTGACCAGTGTTTGCTCTTCATTGAGAGTTGAATCTGCCACACGCCTAATCCCTTATAGTGCTGCCCCAGGCTCCTCGGGAGCAACTGCAGCCCAGGCAGTACCTATCATCACCAAACGCCCTGCAGAGGCAGAGCGGTCATCCTGCCCCAGGTCCCAACAGGTGTCCACATCTCAAGCTGTCAATCATGGGAGGACTCTGCCTGTCGCCCTTTCTCTGTGCTCAGAGGAGCTCCGGCCTTCCGGGTACACACCTGGCAGCACCTAGTCAAGGGTGCAGGAAGTCTTTACATCAGCTTTTGTCAGCAAACCTGGAGCCAGTGCCAAGGCTGTCTCCCTATTACTGCTCATGCAGCATCTTCTGCTTGGTCCTTCAGATCCCTCTCAGCCACCCCGCCACTTCCGTGTGGAGGGGCTGAGTTTGCAGCTGTGAGGCATGGACAGCGGTCTGCCTGTACATCCTTGGGCCACTTCATCCTTGACTTTTGTCTCCTGTTTCTGTCTCAGAGCGGAGGTAGCAAAGGAAGCAGGGAAGCTGGGATGCACACCCAGAAGCCAGAGAAACCCGGGTACCATTGCTTCAAACAGTTTCATCCTACCAAATGATGCTAAGCAAACCACAGTTTAAAAAATAAGTTTGTTGAGGATTAGCAAATGTCTAATGAATTCAAATGGGTGACATAATAGAGCTGGGTAAATATATTTTAAGTAATCAGCGTGGAAGATTACTGACAGACAAGTGACTATTGAATCTTAATTAAAATTGTATTCTGAGAATTGTCACTAAGCCCATTACTCTAGCAGCCAAACCAAAGACCGCTGCTTCACCTCCAGTTTAGGAGAGGGGGAGTCAAAGGAAATGGGTAAATTTGCCTGACTCAGGCGATGAGTTGGGGGAGATGCTTCCTCTTTGAGGCAGGAATTTGAACAAAGGCTGGGAGAAGAGGCTGGCCCGGGTGACTTCAAGCATTTCTGCGTGGCGTGGATGGCACAGGGGCATAGAGCTAGGAGACCAGGGCCCGCCCAGGGAAACAGAGCCATGAAAGGGAAATGGGCAGGACTGAAGTGCTGGTGGCGAGCAACGCCACCAGAGGTGCACCGCGCGCAGAAGTTATAGAATGGACCCTGTTATCAAATGTCACAATCAGCCTGCAGAGGAGTCAGCGACTGCCAGCGTGACAGAGGGGAGATAGCATTGAAGGAGTAGGACGAGGTTCTCTGAACCTACAGTGCCTTAGAGTTAGCTTAGACTTAGGTACTCATCCAAGGTGGAAAGGGTACCCCTCTCTTCCGACACTGGATTTCTTCATGTGGCACTCAAAATTCTGCAGTGTAACAGCTCACAACCGTAAGGTACCCCTGTGCAATGAGAAAGAGATGTCCCCACGGGGTTTGTGCCGAGCAACCTTGCACAGTGAGTGACCTGATCCTCCTTATGTCATGGTTCTGTGCACTGTTCTCCGCATTTAAGCTACTGGGTAGTGAGATTCAGAGCCACTGAACCTAACCGACTCCACTGTGGAAAGAATTGCCACTTACTCAGGATTGCCTGGCTCCAGGCCATACTCCAAGCAGAGGAGGGCCCTCCCGAGGCATCCATGTGCCTGGGTGTACCCAGGACTGGCAGCCTCTACTATGGATTGCTTAGGAACCGGAGATGGCCCAGCTGTTCCACTACATTTGAGCACTTGTGCTTTCTGCTTGGAGAGAAACTTGGAAGGAAGGCTGGGGCTCTCAGAAGCAGAGGGCTCCCTGGCTCTGAAAGGCCCACTTATCAGACCCTGATGGCAGTGATCATACACACATATGCATATACACCTTCCTACACACATTTGTACACACAAACATGCACGTATATATGTACACACAGAAATATACTGGCAATAAATACAGAATTGTGAAACTAGGCTGTTAGTTTATTAGTAGTGCCTCTAGCAATCTTTTAAAATGTTGCTTTTATTATTATTTTTCAGTGTGTGTAGGGGTGTGCACACACTCACACACGCGTGTGTGTTTTAAGAGGATACAGGCACAAGAATGCAGATACCCTGGAGTCAGAGTTACAGGGAATTGTGGGCCATAGAATATGAGTGCTAGGAACTGAATTCTGGATCCTGTGGAAAAGCTACTCTGAATTGCTGGTCCATCTCTCCAGCTGCTGCAGATGGGATATTTATACTTAAAACAATGGGATGGGTATAAAATGGGCAGGGAAGAGCAGTGGAAATGGGAGCAGAAGGATAGATTTCCTCTGATTGTTCATTAGTCCTAAGGCCCGACATTCCTGATCCCACACCCTCCTTCCTTCGCAGCCCCGCCCCCAGCCTCTCTGTGGGAACTACCAGGAGCTGCTTCCAACAGAAGAGGCAACATTTAGCAGATGGCTGGCTAGATATATGTGCTGTCTCTCCACCCTGATTTCCATTTAAAAGATAACTTAGCAACCAGACTGAACCCCCACCCACCTCTGAAGCCTGTAAAGCAATTGAGATGCTCTGTCGCCTGCTTCAGGTAAAAAGGAATAAGCCCCCGAAAGGGTGCTCCAGCTAGGAGGTGGGAGGGGCTGGGACCTGTAGGGAGGTAGCAACCTGTACCTCCTTCTCCTAGAAGCCCCTGTTCAGACTCCTCTCTGCCCCATACATCACCCTGCTCACTCACAGGAGTCCTGGAAGCTGTCTTGTCTAGTGGTGGGGAGAAGAAACCGACTTCCTTCCAGCAGAGATGGAAACACAGGCATCAGAAGTTAGAGGCTAGGGCTCCATTTCAGAGTAGGAAGAATGAACGGGACCAGGGAACTGATTACCCCCTTCCCCCCTCAGCACTCTTCCTGGGCCCGCTCACCCCATCAGGACGGAAGTAGGACTGAAGATCTTCTAAACAGACACTGATACTGTGACCTACCTCCTGCCATCAGATTATTGAGACAATGGACACTAAGAAACTGCAGTTTCCGGGGACTACCCAGGAAGGCCGAGGCTGAGGTAAGCACAGGGGGAGCTCACTCCCAGGAAGAGACTTCACACTTCTGATGACCATTCAGCAGAGGATGCTGCTGAGAGATGCCAGAGGACAGGGCCTTGACTAGGATGGCTCCCCTCTGCATTCCTCTGTTTTCTAGTGACAGCTAGACACCAGGACCCCAGAGATGGGTTAGGGGTGGGGATGGAGGAGGAGGAGGAGGAGGAGGAGGAGGAGGAGGAGGAGGAGGAGGAGGAGAGAACATATGCACATCCCTAGGAGAGGCTTACAAACCCTAGAGGTTCTCCTCTTGGTAGCTGCAGAAAGACATGGGATGGATACCAACAGCATTCCCTAGGTTGTCTCCCCACAAATCCACAGGGGCAGAAGCCACCTTCTGAACAACAGCCAAGAGGGGAAACGGAAGGGCAGCAGGAGCCCATTTAGGGCCATTGAAAGGCTCCTGTGTGAGACAAGCAGTTCTTATTGGAAGTCAGCTAGCAGGCCAGAACCACTTCCTCTTCGGAAGACCATATTATACCTCTGTGTTAATACATCCGTGATAGCTTTCACTGTGTAATTATGTTTGCCTGCCTGTCACTCCCATTCACTGGGGACCTTGGCAAGAAGTGTATCTCCTTCGCTCTGAATCCCTGGTAGCAAGCTTAGCCCATGCTCCTGAGAGGACCCTAGGCTAAGTGAATGAATGAGTGAATTGTGCTCTAGTAGGAAGAGTCACCTGGGCACCGATGACAGTCTGCACCCTCCAATCTGATACAAGAGTGAGCTTGTTTTTGGGGTGCAGGCCAGGGATTCTGGGGAATGAGTCGCCCAGGGACTAGTCCCTGACAGAAGCTGTGGGACTTGGCGTTCTCATCCCTCCTCTAAGACAACCGTGAGCCATAGAGTACACCCCCAGGGTGCCCAGTGGGCATGAGCCTCAGTTTCCTTTTCACTGCAACCTGTTCTCTAAGTCAGCCTCTCTCAGACTCCTCCCTGTCTTGGTTCCCTCTTCTCTTCCCATATTTCCCAAGTCTACCACCTACATGAGCCACTCACACTGAAGTCCTTGTTCCAAACCATTGCTCCATTTCTGAAGACGTCAGGCCACAGACAAGCCTAATAATTACAACTGGCATTGTGTTATATAAGCTTCCAACACGCTAGACCCCAGTGTCAAGGTGAGATAGAGGGATTTTTTTCTTCTTTGTTAATGCATGCATGAAAACCATTAACTGTATCAATGACTAATAAAAACCAGAGAGACATGTGGTGGGGGACATCAGCTCCCATACAAAAGAGAGGTGGTAATAGTTGCGATGGAAGGGGCTGGGGATGTATTTTGATGGGTACCCTGCTTGCCTCGTGTACACAAAGCCCTGGGTTCCATACCCACTACAACACAAAATAGGCCTGGCAGTGCATGTCTGTAATTTCAACACTAAGAAAGTGGAGGCAGCAAGATCCATTTTAAGTCATGTTCAGCTATATAATGAGTTTAAAGCTATCATGGGCTACATGAGACCTTGTCCCAAAAATTAGCAAATACAAATATCAGTAGAAACATCTGCCCCTGCCCCTGACTGGGTCTAGGAAGCAGTGGAGACACCCAGGTCCCCTTGTGAATGAATGTCTGGGGTTAATGGATAGAGGCCCACACACGATGGGGTATGACAGTGATGAAACAAGAGGTGGGAATGTGAATGGAGGTGGGGTGGGGGCTGGGGATGCGAGGAGGCTGATGTGTGATGTGTGACAGCCTGTGTGTGTGTGTGTGTGTGACTGAACAAGCTCCCCAGGGTGTGTGAGGGGGCGTCATCGCATGAATGGAGGTGAGTGAGCAAGTGAGCAGGTGGGCTCCCCTGACACAGTGCTGTGTGGGCGAGGGAAGCCTTACACACATCTTGGGTGGGAGCGAGGCTGTGAAGAAGAGGCAGGGAGCAGAGCTTGCTTGCTTGCCTTTGATGGAGATGGGTGCCGGGTTGTGTGCCGCCGTCACTTTCAAACGCATTAGTCTCCATATAGTTTATGGTCTGTCCTTGGAGACGTAGAAGGTCCATGGCTGTCAGCTATCTGCATCGGTCTCGGCCCCTCGACTTCCCTGCTCACACCTGTCAGTTTCCACCTGTGCTGAGAGGTGGGGACAGGAGTTCTGATTCAGTCTGGACTCTTAAGATCCCCCTGCACTGACTGTCTTTCCTGAAGTCTCCGGCCAGCCGGGAGCTCTGGGCACCTGAGTGGACCACTCCCTTCCCGCCTCGGAGAGCAGGGGTGGAGAACATGGGCACATGGGACCCATTTCCCATCACAAGGACTCTTCCCCCTCACTGAAGGTCTTCTCAGCAGACCTAAACTCCAGGACACAGCCCCACCTTCTCCAAACGCCAACCCCCTTGCCCACGTCTGTCTTAGAGATGGTGTCTGTCCGTCCACTGATTCTTCAGTGCCCTCCCAGTGCCCCCAGGCCTACCTGAGCGCCCTCCCCACACTGGTCCATGTCCACTCCACAACTGAGCTAATGGAGGGAGCAGTGGGGTGGATAATTGAAAGCAGCAGATAATCCAAAACTCATTTCCATTTGGCTGGGGAATGTTCCGTCTATGATTTAGTCTCCTCATTATGTTTGGCTCAGGCAAAATTAAAATTGGCTTTTCTTATTTAAGCCACCCAGGCTACAGGGTGGGCATGGACTGGACGGCATTAAAGTTCACTGTGGCTACAGAGCGTAATTATGTGTTAGCATCTGAACAAGAGATCATACTTGAAGGTCACTTGAGAGGGGAATTGCACTTCTCAGCAGACTTGGGATCCCTGAAGACTAGGCTGCGTCCTCCTTAAATCGGGTCTCTCTAAGGACGGTATTTGTGTCCCTCGGACTCAGGATCCCTGAGCACATGTGTATCTCCCTGAGACTGAGATTCCCCGGAGACAGCCTGGGTCTCCCTTTATCAGTTACTTTCCTATTGCTGGCAGCTTAGAGAAAAGAGACTTTATTTTGGGTTTACAGTTTTGAGGGTTACAGCCCACAGTGGCTGAACTGAGGTGTGGTAGAAAGAACAGCTTAGAACTCCCTTCTGGAACCACAAGCAGGAAGCAGACAGAATGCACTTAATATGGCAGAAGGCTTTTGAAATCTCAAAACCCGCCCCCAATGACATACTTCCCCTAACAAGGCCACACCTCTTAGTTCTCCCCAAATAGACACCCACTGTGGACCAAAGGCCCGAGCCCTAGGGGAGCTATCTCACTCAGTCCGCCACACCCTGACTGTGGCTCCCCAGGACAGAGCTGCATCTACTTTTTATATCCCAAGTATCGATCTTAACATATAACTCCTCCTAGGTCTGAGGCTGATACTCTTCATGTCAGGGTCCCCGGTGATGCCTGCGCCTTCCTAGTCACTTCTGGTTCCTTATCAAAGGCCTCATCAGGAGGATGCACATGATGATCACTCCAAGCTCACAGTGCTTTGGACAGTGTCTCATTACACACAGGAGCCTGTGTTATCAGTCAAAAGATCTTCTTAATGAGTGTTTATTTTCAAGTTTCAATGAAACCTGTTTGTGAAGCAGCAGGGTAGGTGCCATTGTAAGGGGCATCAGGGGCAAAGAAAGTCTACATTCCTACTCCAAAGTCTATTTGTGGCAGGGATCTTGAGACATAAGTCCATCCTGCTGTCCAACCTGGACTTGTGCCACACCCAGGCCAACAAAAGCTAGACAATTTTTTGGCAGAGACCACCTAACAAACTCCCTCTACAGGTGTAAGTCACAGAAATCTGTATTAGGAAAGAGAGCTGTCCATGGGTACAAACTCCCTCTACAGGTGTAAGTCACAGAAATCTGTATTAGGAAAGAGAGCTGTCCATGGGTACAAACTCCCTCTACAGGTGTAAGTCACAGAAATTTGTATTAGGAAAGAGAACTGTCCATGGGGTCCCACAGCAGACTGCCCTATCTCCCATGCTCTAGCTAGCTCCAGTAGAGGGGTACCATAACAAGGGTCTTCAAGGACAAAGGGGTGCCAGGCCATTACGCCATGTCCACCTGCTATGAGCTTAGGTATGCCGTGACCCTCCTCATCCTTGCTTCTGCTCTGTAAAAAGCCGCCGGCAGCTGGAGAGATGGCTCATTCAGTAAAACGATTGCTATGCAGGCATGAGAACCTGAATTCAGAGCCCTGGAGCCCATGTCAAAGCCAGGCATAGGGTGTGTGTCTAGAACTCCTGCAGTGGGGTAGAGACAGGAAGACCCTGAGGGCTCACTGGCAAGCCAGCCTACCTGCACCATTTCCGTGAGAGACACTGGAGAGAAGGCTTAGCAGTTAAGAACGCTGGCTGCTCTTCCAGAGGACCCTGGTTCAAATCCCAGCACCCACACGGCAGCTCACAACTGTCTGTAATTCTAGTTCCAAGGGATCTGACACCCTCTCTGTTGGCCTGTGGGAGAATCAGGCAAGCATACAATGCATGTTCGCACACACAAGCAAAACACTGCTGCATGAGGAGATCAAAGGAGTAAGTCTTAAAATAGGGTGCAGAGTGACTAAGGGAAGCATCTGTGTCGATTTCAAGCCTCTACATGCACATAGATAGATGTACATATGTGCTCACTCACAAAAAGCACACAAAGCAGGGCATTTGGTCCATGCTTATACCTGCTGCTGGGGAGTCAGAGACAAGTGGGTCTCTGGGGTCCCTGGTCAGCAAGCCTAAGCTTAATCCGGTTTCAGGTCAACGCGGAATCCTCAAAAATGAAGGTGGAAAGCACCTGAGAAATGACGGCCAAAGTTGTCTGGCCTCTCCATAATGAAATGAACGCGCGCGCGCGCGCGCGCATACACACACACACACACACAGGAGCTCAGATGGGGAGGATCCTGGGGAGGTGGGTGGCAAGGGACCAAAAAGAAGCTCTAGGTAGGGACTGTTGACCAACCTCGAGCAGGTCTAGAGAAAGCAAAGAGGTCCAGAACCTGGGGTCAGGCAGCAGAGGGGAGCTTCCTCACTGCTAGAGAGGGGACAACGCAGACCCCAGCCAGGATAGGGTTGAAGAAAGAACTTCCTAGCAGTTGAATAGGTACAACCCCTGGTGGCCTGCCCCTAGGAAGGACAGCCAACCCAGTTACTTCCTTCAGATGCCTGTCAGCAACCAAACCTCACCAGTGGTCAGAGCTCAGGGAGACCACTCAGCTGGTCATAGCGCCGCTGGGGCACAGGACATGGTGAACAGGGGTACAGAGATGATTTGGAGAAATAAACAAAAGCCAACCAGAAGACAGGCTCCTCTTCTCTCCCACTAACTTTCCCAAGGAGTTCCTGGATCACAAAACCATTTGGAAGTATAAGAAGAACGGAGGGGGAGGCAAAAAAAAAAAAAAAAAAAAAGAGGAAAAGGAGGAGAAGAGAAAGATTAATCCACTGAAAACAGGGAACCCCCACAGACTAAAGGGCAGTAAATATGAATTCAATTTGGTTTAGCCATTTACAGTATCCAGCCTTCTATGGCTCTGACAGGCCGATCAGATAAAAGGCACCGTTGCCGCCGCGACGTCGCATTTAAATTTTTATTGCAAACACCAGGCTCCATTACCCAAGGTTTGCTCTCTGCATTCCTAATGGCTTCTGTCTTCATGTTGGGGAGGACTGGTCTGGTGCCTGGTGGACAGCAGGGGGAGCATGGCCAGCTCTGTGACTCCCCAGAGCCTCTGTCCTTTCCCTTCCTTTGGCTTAGGGAGAGACGATGGGCTGTCTCCTGCTCCAGCCTGGTCTACATATTTCTATTTGAAAATGTAACTGTACATGGGGGGGGGAGGTGCGCATACCACAGTGAGCATGTGGAGTTCAGAGGACAAGGTGTGAGAGTTGACTTTCTCCTACAGTCTTCTACCGTGGGACCTGGGTGTGGGCCTCAGTTCTCCCTCAGGTTGCCCAGCGAGGGTTTTTTACCGCAGAGCCATCTCATCCCAGCCCAGAATCTTAACAGAAGCCCTCTGTCTCCATCGTCATCTTTTTCCTCCTCCCTCTTTTTCCTTGGGTTTCCTCCCTGGAGACTCTGGATTTAAGATCTAGAGCCCTGTGGCAGACCCCTCCTTCCTCAATGACACAGTAGCCTGCTCTACTCAGTGGCATGGATTTATTCCATCAGGCTTCCATGGAACATCTGCTCAGATAGGCGTATGGGACATGGGGACAGATCCTCTTCTCAGGATGCCTTCCTCCTAGGGATGGGGTTCTGATGGCAGGCGATATCCAGGGCCTTCCAGAAGGGAAAGTGCCAGGCCAATATGCCATCTCCAACCTCTATGCATATAGGCAAATACAACCCCAAAGACCAGCTATGCCATGACAGCTTATCCTTGATTCATGTTTACAAAAACCAAAACCAAAACAAGAGAAACCTGGTAGCTGGGAGAGGGCTCAGTCACTAGAGTGACTGTCATGCAAGCATGAGGACCTAAGTTCAGATCCCCAGAACCCATGTGATAGAGCCGGGCACTGTCCTTGTCTTGGGAGAGGTTGCAAATCCACACACGGACAACCGCAGTCCTGGGAGGAGAGAAGGAGTTCTAAGTGGTATGTTAGCACTTTACACTTGGTCTTCTATTCAAACCACTTAACAATTCAATACTATCTGCCCATTTTACAGGAGAAATGGACGCTCAGGAGACTGAAAATGTGTGCCCAATAAGTTAGAACAGAGGCAGAACTGAAATTCCAAGCCAGGTGTGCCCTACAGCTTACTCTCAAGACACAGAGAAAGTCACACTGTGTGGAGGGATTCTGAAGACGCCTGCCCGTCAATTAGGACAAGGGAACACACTTCTTGGAAGAGGTCTCACTGTAACTTGCCACTTGAATGACAGGTGGTGGATTCGAGAAGCTAGGGTGAGTAGTCAAAGAGAATATTCTAGAAGTAAAACAAAGATGTCAGGTATATTGGTTGGAGAGAGCCAGGCATTACAGATGTTATTTATTTATTTGAATTTTTTGAGACAGGGACTCGCTGATTATGCTGATCTGGAACTCTATGCAGATCAAGCTGGCCTCCAGTTCAAAGAGATTCACCTGCCTCTGCCTCTTGAGTGCAGGGTTTACAGCTGCCTTTTAAAGGAAGCTCCAAGCTTGATTTGATGATTAACATAGGCAAAAGCCCAGCCACTGAGATGCTGAGGAGGCCTCTGAATTTGAACCCTGACTTTCCTCTTTTCTGGCTATGGGACCTTGGCCATCTTGATGCCTCTGAATTTTCCTCCATTGTAAAACTGACTCTTTGTAAGGATGACTGGAGTCAATGGTGCAAAACACATAAGCTCATTGTGAAATCTCAAAGCCGTAGTACCCACTCCAATTTTTACACTGTGGGCCATCATTCTGTGGCAATTGGCTGCTGTCAAAGGGACCTGTAAGAAGATAGATTTTTCAATTGCCACAGAAGCAGAAAGCTGAACTATGAGGCATATTCATGGAACTCTCAGACACTCTCAGGAGACCTGGGCCTTTAACTGAAAGAAACAAGGCTGTGGCATGGGAGGAGTCAACACAACCCAAGCTATGCCTCTGGTCAGAGTTGGGTCCTCCTCCCCTTGCCACCTCAAGCTTGGGGACAGGCTGGGGACAGGGGGCTTCATGATCCTAAGGAAAGGCAAGCAGAGGTGAAGAGCGACTGTTGTAGTGAATGCATCATGCCCCTGTGGTGGTTCCCAGACAGCCCCGATCTGTGCCATCAGGGGCCACAGAAGAGAGAAGCCGGGGCCTCCTCTCAGATCACCTCAGGCCTTCCAATATCTCCTTCCCATTGGTTTATCACCAGATTTTTGTCAGTAAGATTCTGCATATTTCCTGAGCTAAGTCTTTGGAAACCATAAACATTTACAGAGCAACTGCTATGCTGGGCTCTATACAGTATGAGCAAGTAGTTCCTCCATCTCCTCGGGGAGACTAATCCATGACAGGAGGATAGAGAACCCTCACAAAGGGAAGACAAATTAACTAGCTCCTCCACAGGCAGGAAGAGGATGGGTGACAGGGGAAAAACTACCCAACCTCCCTTTGAAGGGGTGGAGCATGTGTCATTCCTTATTTGGTGCTCCTGAGGACAGGTCATTCCCTCTGACTTATGGTCTGTAAAGGTAGACCATGTCTCACCTGACTGAAGATCCCTAAGAACAGGACATGCTTATCAGACAAGAGCTCCTTGAGAACAGACCATGTCTCCCCAGACAGAGCCCCCCCTTAGTACAGGTTATGTTTTTTCAGACAGGGGATCCCTGAGGCCAGGCCTTTTCCCTTATAAAGGGCTTCCTGAAGATAAGACTGCTCTCTGACTGGAGCTGTCTCTTCACAGGTCCTGTTTCCTCTCAGACTGGAGGTCCCCCAGGGTAGACTCAGTCTCTTAGACTGGGCTCCCTTGAAGATGAGTCTCCTTAACTGTAAAGAGAGAGATGCCTTTTCCTTACCTGCTGCTTTAGGTCCCCCCCCCCATCAGTCGCCTGGGCTCTGCCGAGTTGTAGTCCCCAAATAACACACAAGACACTGTATTAATTATGAAGCTGTCGGCCTTGCTTGTTTCTTACTGGCTAGCTCTGACTTAAGTATTTATCCCATAATTGTTAATCTAAGTATTTCTCTTACCGGTGAAGTTTCTGGGTTTCTTACCCTTATGGCGGTTACATCTTGACTCCCTGTGTTTCTCCTACCCAGAGTTCTCCTGGACTCCTAGCCCCACCTATCTTGCTTCCCTATTGGCCAACAGTGCTTTTTTTGACATATACACAGGACTTCCCCCAACACTTAACGGGCGGTGTCTCCCTCAGACTAGGGATTTCTGATGACAGACATCTCTCAGACTCATATTATGGAGTAGTCTTTTTGTACAATGTGAAGATGTGTTTCTCTCATTGATTTGATAAAGAGCTAAATGTCCAATATCTAGGTAGGAAGAGTCTAGGCGGGACTTGTGGACAGGGAAAGAGTGCAGGGATGAAGAAGGGCGGAGTCCCCAGGAGATTCGGGGAGAAGCAAGGTGAACATGCTATGTTAAAGGTACTAAGCAGAGTGGCAGAATGTAGACAGGAACTTTGTGTTAGCTTCAGTTGTAGGGCATTTATAATTAATAATAAAAATAAGTCTCTATGTGGTTATTTGGGAGCTGACTGGCAAGGCAGAGAAATTATGCCTACAGACCTGAGGATAATGGTGTTTCCCTCAGACAGGGCCCTTGAGGGTCTTCTCAGACTGGGGTTGCATGGTACCATGGTCCTGTTTCCTCACTATGATAGAAATCGCCCAGGTCACTGTATTTCTACTCTCTGTACAAGACAAACAACTTGTGCAGACCTCTTTGCTCTCAGGCAAAGTATTTCCTTACGTTTTGTTTCAATCTCTTCCATATATGTGGAAGGGTATTTGAAGACAAGAAAATCTCCAGTCTGCTTTGAACCCCCACCTTTTATGTTCCATCTCTTGCTACAATACTCCAAAGAATCAAATAAATGGGCAATTTGACTCTTAATGGCTAGTTGTGTTAAATGAGAATTCTGCACTGCCTTAATTGAAAGACTGACTCCTAATGGTTTTAGGACCAGCACCTTGTTTGTGGATGTGGAACTTGGAAACAGTTCAAGGAGGGGGTGTCATAAAAACATAAAGTCAAGGAAACTGGCACCTCTCTGGCTTAATGTTCCTATGGGGAGCCACGGAAGCTGGATGGATGTCTGCAGAGTGGTAATGTGCTAAAGAAAGGGCACCTAGCAGCTCACTGCTGTAGTTAGAGGGATCCAGGGCCAAGGAGTAACTATGCAGAGGCTCCTGTTCACCTCCTAAGAGCCACTCTGCCCTTCCCTAGCCAGAACCCCCAAGTACATAGCAAATACAGTTAATAATAGAGCATTGCATGTTTAAAAACTGCCAAGAGTACACTTCAAATGCTCTCACCATAAAGATATCAAGTGTTTCATGTTATTTCATTATGCATCATTGTAGTCACAACCATAACATCAACTTATAGTCCCTAAGTATATGCAGTTACATATTGGAACAAGAAAAAAGCAGCAGAGGAGAGGGAAGAGGAGGGGAAGAGAAGGAAGAGGAGGAAGGGGAAGGAGGAAAGAGGAGGATGGACCAATAGGAAAAGGAAGAGAGAAAAGGAAGGAGGAAGAGAAGAAAAAAGAAGAGGAGGGGGAAGAGGGGAAGGAGGAAGAGGAGGCGGCTGCTGCTGCTCATAATCCTGAAATGTTATTTTGCTACAAGGCCACATCAGAAAAGACTACATTTCCCAGCTTCCCTTGTACCTAAGTGCCTTAGTTAAGGTTACTATTGCTGTGAAGAAACACCATGACCAAAAGCAACTTGGGGAGGACAGGGCTTATTTCACTCACAGTTCATCATCAAAACCAGTGAGGGCAGGAACTCACGCAGGGCAGAATCCTGGAGGCAGGAGCTGATGCAGAGGCCATGGAGGATGCTATTTACTGCCCTGCGTTCTTATAGAACCCAGGACCACCAGCGCAGGCTTGGCACCACTCACTGTGCGCTGGCCCCCCCCCATCAATCCCTAATAAAGGAAATACCCCTACAGCTGAGTGTTCTGGAAGTATTCTCTGAATTGAGGTTCTTTCCTTTCAGACGACTCCAGTTTGTGTCAACTTGACATAAAACTTCCCAGCACACTAAATGTGGTCATGTAACTAAGTTAGAGCCAAAAGCTGTAAGCAGTTATATACTGTGTTTCCTTAATAAAAGGCACTCTCCCTTGCTTCCTGCTTCCTGATGACTGGATGTAAATGGGTATGAAACTTGAGGGTCATGAGTTTGTAGCCATGTTTGAAAGATGCCTACATAGTTAAGTAGAAGGAACTTAGGTCCTGCTAATCATGGCATTACCACTCTGAACTTACTGCTTATTTTTAAATTTAAATTATAATTTTAATTGTGAAATAGCTTAAGACTCATGGCAGTTATAAAGATAATGGAAGGGGTTTCCAAATGCTGGACTCCATCTTCCCCCAGCAGTGGCATCTTAGGTCACCACAGTTCAGTGAATATTGATATGGTGCTATTTGCTCAAAGGCATACCTTGCTCCCTGGACTTGTCACAAGAGAGATAAAATCTTATCTCTGGCCATTTAGTACTGATTTGGTGTGTTTTTATTTATTTATTTTGGCCACTCACAAGTACCTCTTGTACAATTTCCAAACAGTGCACGATAGCATCCCGGCTTCAAGTGTGAGGGACGCACACGGTAGGCTGTAGGAGCTGCAGAGAGGCAAGGGATGAGAGCATCTGCGGGGCACGGAGGTCCTCTAGAGGCATGGAGGTTCTCTAGGATAAAGAACGGTGTGGGGAATGCAGCAGTCCTTGGGACGGTGCTAGCGGACACCCTCCCCCAGCGTCTCTCGTCTTTGCCACATTCTTACGGAGACTTCCTTACTCCACACTCACCCCACTGTTTTGTTTGAACCATCTGCAAGTCCAACCCACCTCTTACCTGACTCCCACTGATGCAGAGGGATCTGATACTTGTTAGTGTAGCATCTCCTGTGGCATGTCAGGAGAAGGCAATGGAAAGTGGTGACATCTGTTGGTGTTTTCAACACAAGTGGAAACAAATTACACTGGACTTAAACGTCAAAGACCCTGAGCACTTCATAGAGAAGTGGGGGGGATCACCTCTTTGGGACAGCCTCTTTCAGCCCACAAGAGTCGTCAGGGCCACAGCATTTGGCCAGTGTCTGCATTTATGCCACCGAAGGCAGACTGGTTACACACAGTCAACACTCAAGTTTAGACATCCATGTACTATCCACCCATTCAGACTAACATGGACTACACATGAAAGACCCCAAAGCAGGTGCAGAGGGGAATCCTAGGATGACAAGCATGTCTGGTCCCTACCACAGAGATAGGTCTCCCTCAGAGAGGCCCCCTGTATATGAGCGTAGCTCAAGAAGGAGACGATTGCTGCCAGTGGTTGTAGAAAGTTCTTTGGCTGCTCCGACAAGGGTGAGGAAGGAGGGATGCATGCAATCAGAAGATCTGCAGCGGGTCCTGAAGGATGGTCACTGAGATGGGCACGGGTGTGGGAAGTGTGTGACACTCAACTCAAGGTAGCATAAGAGGTTCTGCTGCTCACTGTGCTGCCATTATCCCCAAACCTCAGGTGACAGACATTAAAGGAGCGTGACATGATCTAGAGGAGGAGTTTCAATTTGTTTGTTTATCTATACAGTCCATGGAGAACTTCCTGGGGCTCATGAACTGTGACAACTGTATGATGAGTTTTGAGTGACCGTTCACTTTTCTGGGAAGTCTTGATTACATTTTTCACGGTAGAAATAGTTTCTACCATCTGTGTCTTAGTTTCTTTTCCTGTTTCTATGATGAAATGCTACAGCAAAAGCAACAGGAAGGAGGGGAGTTTCATTCTGCCTCAAGGGCACACTCCATTGCAGTGGGGACGCCAGGGCATCAAGAACTCGAAGCAGCTGCTCACATGACGTCCAAAATGAGAAAGTAGAAAGGGATGGGTGTGCACTGTAGCTCCCTTTCTCCCTTACTCAGTCCATGCTCCCAACCAGAGAGTGGAGAAACCCACAGTGGGCAGGTCCCACCTCAATTAAAACAAGGTAATCCCTCACAGAGATGCCTGGAGTCCTGTCTTCCAAATGATTCTAGATTCTGTCAAGTTGGCAGTTAACACTAACCACTCTCTGCATTAGCTTTAGCGCTTATTCTACAAGTAGGCAAGACGATTCTAGAAGTAAGATGGATCTCTCAACCTCAGTCTATCGCTTACCTGACTTAACTCACCATGTAAAAAAAATGTGTCACCTCTGAGTCAACCTTAATCCCTGAGGCTGGGGTTCCCTCTGAGCCAGGATGCTATGGGCTAAGAGGACCCTTGACCAGACCCATTGGTGACTGACACCTCCAGGGTCTAAGATGTTCAGGATCTTTCACAGCGGGAGAAATGCAGCAAAAACACAGCAGCAAACTTTCTAACTAGAGACAGGTAAAAAATAAGGAGCTTGCTGACAGCCAGTGCTGGTGAGGCAGGCAGACAAAATCACACACTGTGGGGTGAGCCTGGACGGGTGCACAGTAGGGCTGGGTAGCTGGAGACAACCTTACAGTACCCATAGAAACTAAATGCCAGCCGCTCTGATTCACATCTAGGAATCTGTTCTCTTCAGGTAGTTATGGCTTATCACGGCTGTCAAGTTGACTGGATCTGGAATATGCTAAAAGGCCAACACCTTGTGCACTCCTGAGAGGACTTTTCTTCATCAGATTGTTTGAAACGGGAAGGTCCGCACCTAAAGTGAACAGCGTCTCGCGGTGGCAACCCAGAAGGGAAGGCGGTGGGAGACCTGCTTAGTGCTGCTTGCCCTCACACTCTCTGGAAGATTCATCTACCACCTGCTGCTGGGCTGCTGCTGCTACATTCCTTCTCAGATCCCGGGACCCAGCTCCAGTTTCCCACGTGTGGACCCCCAGGCCTTCAGTGCCAGGCAGGGCACCCAGCTTCATGGACTGTGTAACTACAGGGTTCTCAGTCTCTGGTGTGGTGCAGTCCTTGATGGACTACCCAGTCCAATCTAGCAAGTCTCCTTTCGTTATATATCCATTCTATCAGTCGTGCTCTTCTCAAGAGCACGACTAACACAAGAGGCGACTCCGCACCTACTGACCAAGCCATTGATGCAAAGACTCCGTTGCATCGTTTCCTGCAACAGCCAAGCATGTGTACGACATAAGCATCCACTTCTAGCCCACCCACCTGAGAAATATTGGGTTGTAAAGCTAGCGTGATGGGAGATCTTAATTGTATTGGTAGAAAGGACATACATACACACGTGCACAAATGCACACATAAAGACAGACTGACATGCACACACACACACACATACTCATAAACACACACATGTACACATACACGTACACATACTCTCAGCTATTATTTCTCCATCCATTTATCATCTGTCATGCAGCCTCTGTCTTTTCTTCAATAAGTCAGAAAGGTTGTAAAGATGTTTCTGAGAACGCCACAGGAAATCCAAGGTTTCACAAGGGTCAGGTGTCTACCACACATACTTTTCAATTCTCATTTTTTATTTAAATGCATCTTCCTTGTAGATGCTGTCAGAAAACGGGCAACTTAAATAAACAAGTATTTCCATTCTCTCTCTCCTCTCCCATTATTTTTTACTTGAAGCTGGTTTTTTGTTTGTTTGCTTGTTGTTTTGTTGTTGTTTGGGTTTTTGCAGTTGGCCTCTGACAGTGACAATCTGTGGAGGTTGCTTGCTATACCTTCAACAAACAAATCATGATCTTTCTACCTCACGCACCTCTCAGACAATCAGCCACTTGTAAGGCCTCCTTGACACCCTGGCAAAACACTTCTGCCCAGTCCTGTGGAGTCCACACCCCAGAACACAGAGCACCTCCTGAGAACGGAAGACATGATATGGACGGAGGGTTGCTCACTCCACAGGGGACGTTGGCTAGGGGACACAGCAGACAGGGGGGAGCTTTGGTTTGAATCTCCACAGGTTTGTGTGCTGAAAGTCCGGTCCCCAGCTGGGGGTGCTATTGGGAGCCATAGAAAGTGGTATGAGGGTTCTATTTCAAGTAAATAAACCATCAAGGGTACAACTCTGAAGGCTATCCCCGTTCTCCATCTCTGCCCTCTTTCTTTCTGAATCTTGTGTGTGTGAGAGTTGTGTATGTGTGTGTGTGGATACACCATGGGGGCATATGTAACAGTCAGAGGACAACGTGTGCAAATCAGGTCTCTTCTACCATGTGGGTTCCAGGCCTTGGTAGCAGGTGCCTCTACCTACTGAGCCATCCTGTCAAACCCCTCTTTCTCTCTTGGCTGCCTCACAACTGTCCCACCATAATACACTAAGTCTGAAACTAAGTCATAATAAACTATCCATCTTAAAATTGTTTCAGGCACTTTGTCACTGCAGGGAAAGCATAATTAACACCAGAGGCCCTCAGGGAGACAGGCTCCAGCAGGCTTCCTTTCAATATTTGGGTTTTCCAGAGCCTCCCCCCCCCGCATCCAAATTCAGGGTGGATGAGCAGATGCACTGGGTAAGGGGCTTGTCACCGGATAGAGACCATCACAGTGAAGTGTCACCCTGCGTGGATTCCCATTCTGTTCTGCCTTCCTTCCCCTCACCATCATCTTTCTGTCCTAAAATGTACCACGACGGCCGGGTGGTGGTGGCGCATGCCTTTAATCCCAGCACTCGGGAGGCAGAGGCAGGCAGATCTCTGTGAGTTCGAGGCCAGGCTGGACCGATAACCTCCAAAACAATACAGAGAAACCCTGTCTCGTAAAAACCAAAAAAAAAAAAAAAAAAAAAAAAAAAAGCAAAAACGTACCACAACTCCGAAAGTTAGGCCTGGTTTTCAGCTCATTCCTCCTCTTGGTTTCTTCTCCTGAATGAGGTGAACAGCCTTCTTTTCCACACACTCTGACCGCCATGATGGTCAGCTTCAAAATGGGCCCAGAATCAACAGAGCCATAAATGCTGGGTTAAAATCTAAGCATGAGTCATGATAATTTACTTTTCTTTAAGTTGTCCTCTCCGGTTTTTTTGGTTACAGCAATACAAAATTAATTAAGTTGTACTGAGCTGACTCATCTGAGAGAAGAGGAACCAAAATGCAGACCTCCAGAATGTCAGGTCCATTTCTCAGATTGTCTACCCTGTGGACAATCCTGTTCTGTAGCGTGTATGCAGACAGATGACTGGAATGAACCAACACTCCTGTGACTCACTTATACTACAGATACTAGGCTATCAGTGGAGGTCCTTCACCAACTGACTGCTAATCAAAGCAGATACTGCCTGAGAGACCTGACCTTGTCAGAGGGGCCTTGCAGAAGCTCTGCCCTTCCTCTGGCTGGGAAAATAGGAAGTGTGAGAGGAATGTCTCCTGTTGGTGGTGAAGAGGCCGTCTGGCCTGCCAAGGAGATGACTGTACTGTAGGGGCTAGGGGTAGTCTCAAGGTGTTAAGAAACTAATGGAATTAGTCTCAAGGAACTAAACCCCCCACAGCACTCTGGGAAACTCAGAACTGGGTACTTTCTGGCGGAGCTTCCAAATGAGACGCCCTGTTTCAGCCACTAGGTCCTGAGTAAAACAGAAGCTCCGCCATAACTTGGCGGTAATAAATCTGCTTTGCTCACATGTGTTAAGTTTGTGGTGATTTGTTACGCAGCAGTGAAAACCCAACTACGTGAGTTCATTTTCAGACAGAAAGGAAGTCAGAAGCAGCCTAGGGTGGGGCAGCGGGGAGCGAGCCGTGGAGAAACTTGGAACCAGGTAAAACTGGTTCCTAGATGGGAACTAGCTTCACTCTGCTGCTTTGAGAACTTCCAAGGGCTAAGAGCATTGTCTCCTGTGCTCACAAGGCGTGTGATGAGGGCTCAAAACAGCCATGGCAATGACAAGAGTGCCACCTTTGTTTGGGGCCCCTTAGAGTTTATCAAAGCTGCTGCATCTGTTGGCTTGGTTAATTCTCCAGGAACCCTAAGGGAACAGTTAATATTTTCTGTTCATTTCACAACTAAACAAAATGAAAACAGATCATCGAGGGCTCTCCATGGTTACACAGTTATTAAAGGCTGTGTGAGAACCAGACCAGGAAGATACAGAAATAAGAGAACAAAAGCCGTCTTTCTGTGTCCTTCTGGATTGAATCGGAAATGTCCCACACAGACTCAAGTGTTGCGTGTCTGGTCCTTAGCTTGTGGCGCTATTCTGAAGGCTGCAAAGCCTATAGGAGGCAGAGCCTGGATGGGGGAAGTCTGGCGCTCAAGGGTGGGTCTTTGACAGTGGATGAGACTTGAGGTGGCTGACAGGAAGCAGAGAAGGGGAGTAGACACCAGGGTCATGTGTAACTGACCATGGGTGGAGCCTCCCAGGTACGCCTTCCCCACCAAGCGGGGTCCAAACCCTTGAAACAGTGAGTCACAACAAACCTCCTTCTTTAGGGTATTTCTCTCCGGTGCTTTGGTCACAACAATGCGAAAGTAACACGTGGTCACCAGAGCTTGCCTCACAGGGTAATTCTGGGAGAGTGGCTTTCCCTCAAACCCCATACAAGCTGAGCTCCAACCAGGAACAGGTGAACTGTATAACTCTTTGAATTCTGAGTGGAGGATGGAGCTGTTGTCACCCAAAGCGTCCACCATAAGTTATCCTTCCCCACATACTCTTCCTCCTCTTCTTCCTCTGCCTCCTCCTCTTCCTCTTCCCCTACTGGAACCTACCTGCCTCGCCCTCAGTCCCAATGTCTGCTCACTGAGTGACATCACCATACAGAGCTATGAATGGACAGTGGCAGTGGTACATTCCTGTCTCCTAACCAGGAGAGAGAGAGAGAGAGAGAGAGAGAGAGAGAGAGAGAGAGAGAGAGAGAGAGAGAGAGAGAGAGAGAGAGAGAAAGAGAGAAAGAGAGAGAGAGAGTTTTCAGAAGTTTTTCTCAGAGTCCTAACCCAAAGGAGGCATCCTAATTATGCAGATATGAGCCTTTGAAATACAGGTAAGCTGTCTACTCTGGAAAACAGCTCAGCAACCCACAGGGAGGTTCTGCATCTAGGATTAGCCTTTCTCCTCAAAACAACTGTCAAGCCAGTCGCATACGTAGGTAGGAGACACTACTGTGAGAAGGGAGGAGAGACTCTACCTTATCTGGGCTCAGGCTGGACCAGAGATGAGAACATTCCCTGGAAAAGCTTAAGGGGCCATGAGTAGCCACAGGTTGTGCTGACGGCCTGTGCTGGTCCTCACATGTTACCAGCTCTCTCTCCCACAATGTTTCCAGACATCTTGCAGGCTTTCTTTTTTTTTTTTTTTTTTTTTTTTGGTTTTTCGAGACAGGGTTTCTCTGTGGCTTTGGAGGCTGTCCTGGAACTCACTCTTGTAGATCAACTGGCCTCAAACTCACATTGATTTGCCTGCTTCTGCCTCCCGAGTGCTAGGATTAAAGGCGTGCTCTTGCAGGCTTTATGCTGCCTGTAAGAATATTTGTCACAGTCATCTGTAAAAGTCTGGGCTCCCCCCCCATGAGTGCCAAGGGGACCATGCCCCCCAGAAGTTGCAGCCATGGGGAATTGCAGCCATTGTGAGCGTGGGATGTTGAGGACCACATTGAGGATGGTATCCTCGTCCAGGCTCACACAGGTGAGGTGCTTTTACTGTGCTGAATATTAAGACTGAGGGCTGCTGAATGTGGTGATATTTTGTTTGTGATCTAACAAAATAAAGCTTGCCTGAAGACCAGAGTGAGGAGCTAAGCCACTAGTTAACCTCAGAGGCGAGGCAGTGGTGACCACACCTTTAATGCCAGCTCTTGGGAGGCAGAAATGGATCTCTGTCCCTGGGCTACACAAGATTGAATCAGTCTAAAAGAGAAACAGAGCTCACACCTTTGATCCCAGCACTTGGGATCACACACTTTTAATCTCAGCTCTAGGGGGGTGGAGACGGGTGATACGCTGGGTGGAGAGAGGAATAGAAGGCAGGAGGAGACAGGAGCTCATTGCATTCCGTCTGAGGTTTGTAGAGAAGGATCGCCCTTTCAGTGTGTTTATTAAAAGCTTTGCTAATTTATTTTATTTGCGGACAAGTGAGCACACACAGAGGTCAGAGGTCAGCCTGGGGAAGCCACTGCTCCTTTCAGCACGTTGGTCGGTCCCAGGAGTGGAACTGGGGTCATCAGGGTTGGTCCCAGGAGTGGAACTGGGGTCATCAGGGTCGGTCCCAGGAGTGGAACTGGGGTCATCAGGTTGATATAGAGCACCTTTACCCGCTGAGCCACCTCACCTCACCTCAGTCACCACTGTAATTCAGCCCTCACCTCACCTCACTGAATCTGTGTTTTTGTAATTGTGGAGAGAAGCTGCCTCCCTTCATCTCAGTGTAGACACACGGAGTGCACTAACGTGTAGAAAACAGCTTTGTACACTTATATGGATTGGGGGAGGCGGCTGGGTGACTTGTCCCCATGGAGAATACCTAGCAAGGCACTCATCCTATTTACCAACAGCGATGACTCTCCCTGTGAGGGGCAGGGAGAGCTGGACTGTGGACCTGCTCATAAAAGAGGCCCTACTCAGAAGAAGCAAAGCCTTGAGACCTCGGTGGACAGCAGCCT